AAAGAGTGTTTCTGCAGATTCTGTTGGAATGTCTTGAGAAAACTTTCAGCTGCGACGGACTTAGATCCTGGGTGCAGAGGAATTCAAAGTAATCTTGAGGTCCAATGTCGTAAACCAAACCCGGGTCTAGAGCTTTCAACGGGTTTATATGCCCGGCTCCATGATCGTAAGGTGTGGAAGGTGCACCGGTTGAAGCATCTCTTAGAGGGTTAAGGTTATTGTCATGGACATAAGCCGTTGTTAAAAGAGCTGACTTTATAGCGGCTGGGCTCCAATCCGGATGCCTGGCTTTTATCAATGCAGCCACACCGCTCACATGAGGGCATGACATCGAAGTTCCGGACAGGATATTGAACTTTACCCTCCTATGATCCGAGGATAAACTCGATGGTCCCATATCTCCCGTCCACGCTGCGAGAATGTTCACTCCCGGAGCCACCAGATCGGGTTTCAGGATCTCGAGTGTCAGAAAATTAGGCCCTCTCGAAGAAAACGCTGCAACTACCGGAGACGGTTTGATCCCTAGCCGGGTTCCGAGGATCTGAAGATTCGCAGTTGGTCGTCTGCTCGTCATGGCATACTGCTTGATCATCTTACCTTCCTTCTCTCCCACTGCAACTGCAGGAAGCAAGTGACAATCCGCAACAAGCTCCTCGCCGTTCGTGGCCGTGTTCGTCAAGATCATGCCGATTCCTCCGGCCTCTCTCACCACCTGACCCTTCTGCACACGGGGAGTGACTCCCCGGTCGCAGATCACTATCTTCCCCGCCACGTGACGTCGGTCCAGAGCTCCATCCAGACAGAACGAGCTTGGATCAGGACTACTCGCGTTGCTTCCCATGTAAACCAGAGGATACTGTCTGTTCTTGGACAAAACCGTTGTTCCTTTGTACAGTGACACTCCCCTCACGGTTCTTCCACTTCCCAGATTAACTGTAGCCGGGAAATCTCTGTCCATGGTACTTGCACCAACGGTCGTGATCCAAGGCGATACATTCGTGAGACTGATCGGATCAGGACCGCCATTTCCGGCAGAACACGACACGAAGACACCCATCTCCATTGCTCCAAATGCAGCTATCGACAAACTGTCACGGTAATAAGTGGAGATACCACCTCCCAACGAGATCGACAACACATGAACTCCATCAGCAACGGCTCTATCAACAGCCGACAAAATGTCCGAACTGAAGCACCCTCCGACCCAACAAACCTTGTAAGCAGCGATTCTCGCACGTGGAGCCATCCCTCGGGCTGTTCCATAAGCGTATCCCAGAAGGTTGGCTCCACGAACGGGAGAACCAGCAACCGTAGCTGCGGTATGAGTTCCATGACCATCTCGATCTCGAGGTGATTTGTACTCAAGCTGTTCATCTATTTTCCCTGTCGCAGCTTCATACCCTTTGTAGAACACTCTCGCTCCGACAATCTTTCTGTTGCAGTGGTTTTTGGTGAAACCTCTGCCCGTCTCGCAGGCTCCACGCCAAGTAGCAGGAACAGGGGACATGCCCGTGTCGTTGAAGCTCTGGCTCTCGGGCCAGATCCCAGTGTCGAGTACACCGACTATGACGTCATGGTCCATGAGCTTCTCTTCCCAGACTGTGTTCTCACTGTCACGTCTCTCTAAGCCAAGAAACGTGGGACTTCTCGTGGTGTGAAGCTCGTATCTTCGCTCGGGGATTACAGCCACAACACCCGATTCCTGTTCGAGCCTCCCGGCTTCTTCTTTGCTCAATCGAGCAGCGACTCCATGAAAAACCTTCTGGTAGGTGTAGAGTATTCTGGTCTCTTCTTCTACATGGGTTTCAGACACGACAGACTTTATCATGGAAGAATACCATTCTATGTGATCAGAGTAGGATTCGGGCATTGCAGTCTTGTCCATGTGAACAACATAAGTCTTCTTCTCCCGAATTTCAGCTTCCCCGTGACCAAATACGGACAAAGGTGAGAAGAAGAAGAAGAAGAAGAAGAGCCATTTCACTGTGGTTTCTACCATTTGTGTTTTTGGCAGAGAGACGACACTGTGGTGAGCTTCTTAGAAAGGGGAAGAGAAGAGATGAAAGGACAGACTAACAGGAGGTGATCTCATTGGGCGCTCTGTGAATGGAGTAAATAAGAGGTGGTTGAAACTGGCAGAAGTTATTCAATAATTTCATGCCTTGCTTGCTTGCTGTAATTTCCAGAGGTGCGGCCAATTCTGGTTTTTTTTTGGTTCAATCCCGGTTTATTTGGTTTTGAAACAGAATCTCTGGGCTTAATTTGGTTTTGGATTCGGATACGTTTTCTTTTCTTTCAAAATTTTATATATATATATTCGGGTTGGTTTGTATTTTGTTGGGTATAGAGTAAGAAAGTTTACAATGAATAATTTCAATATTCCATAGTGTCCCTACATATTTGTAATTTGTGTACGAATTTCAGTAGTGTTGTTGTTTATATTTACTGCCATCAAAAGCAAACTATAAATGATCAATGGAAATGATATTTTGCAAATAAAAAACATAAATATCCAAAAAGTTGTGATTTTTTCAAACCTATTAGCACATATAATAGGTTCTAAAGTTATAATACAAACAAGTTTGATGACGTTATCAACCATCTTTAAAAGTGATGCACCGATTGATAACACAGCAGTGTGGAATAGAGAGGTTAACATTTTGGATTTCGTTTGTATTGGTTTTCTTTTGGTTTGTGTTTTTGTTTAAATTTTAGAATATTAAAATTTCAAAAAAAAAATCGAAATTTCATTTGTTTTTAAATTTGTTTTTATACGCGATTTCGAATAATTTTGAATTCTTTTAACATAATTTAAAAACATATCAAAGTTATTTTAAAATTAAATATATTTCAAATATATTGACTATTATTAGGTTTAATTTTTTTTCAATCAACAAATCAAATATCTAGGATGATCATTTCGATTTTCTGATTCATGAGTTTTAGTTGGATTTGATTCTTATGATTTAAAAAAAATATATTTATCCCTTACCATTTTATGTTGAATATTGTTACAATTTTAAATGATAAAATATTTATTTTTTAAAAAATATAATTTTTATTGTTTTAATATTCGGTTTGAATACAATTGAATTCGGTTCCCAAAGTTATAAAAACATCATAACTGTTTAATTTTCTGAATCTAATTTGATTCGTTATTATGACGTGTTGGGTTCCCTTTACGAATAACCGAACGAATATTCATAGAGTATATTAGAAGCATTAAAAAATAAATTTAATTGTGGATGAGGTATTCGATCATTTACACTTGCAAGTGCATGAATTATGATAAAGGACGATCCTTGGACTCCACGAGCATGTGGTTTACTTCCATTCCTTTTTTTTTTGTCAGTCAGCCTTTTGTCACGTGGACCTGTTTTTTTTTTAAGGGTAGACATTAAGTTGAAAAATTTAATACTAAATCCAAATAGAATAGGACCGAACCAGTTTTGATTTAATATATTTTTATATAAACGAATCCAATAAATATTGAATCAAAATCTAAATTATCTATCAATATATGTGAAAATATTATGGTTGAGTATTTATTTAGGACTCATATAACAACATCGTTTGGAACCAAACCGATGTTAAAACAAAATCAAATTAAACCGTTTAATATTCGGTTCTAATTTGGTATAATTTTTATAAAATCGAAAATATTATCTCGAAACTGAACTGTTTGAATATCGAATTGAACCCCTATTTTTTTTGGAAATTGTAAAAAAAAAAAGGGAAAGTAAATGCTGAATTTCTTTGAGAATACTTTCTTTCCATACACTATATTTGTATGCAGTCCACGGCTCCACAGTCAGTAAAAAAAAATCGGATTTGGTTATTTTTTATTGGGTAAAAAAATTAGAAATACAATCCTTCAGTGCAGTGAATTAAATGGGGCATAGCAGTGGTCAGCTCAACGGTCATCTCTGACCATTTAATTCCTCATTTAATGTTTCAATGCAAATGGGCCCACCTTTCCTCCTCTTCCATTCTCACCTTTTCTTTTTCCCCCCAAAATCTTATTTCCACCAACTCAATCAATATAAAAATTATAAGAAAATATAAAATACTTTAAAAAATAGCTCGATATAAAATCAAATAGATTAAGGCTTTTGCAAAAAAAAAATGACGAGTTTCACGAACATTCAATTTCATTATATTCCGATTATTTTTTAAAAAATATAATTATTCGTTTTTTTATGTTGAATTTGGTTTGGTCGTTTTAGAATTCATTTGTTTGATTTCCGATAAACCAGAATTGTTCTACTATTATCAATTCATTTATTCGATCAGTAAGCAAATCGATCACCTCAATTTTACTAAAGAATAACTTTTAGAATAAAAGATATGGGCCGATCAGATGGACCATTGGGCGTAGATTTCATAGATGTTTGATTTAGATACTTGGGCCTAATGGGCTTTACTACGAGAGAACCTACGGTCCAAACTTGGGAATTTATGTTTATTGTAACAGTGACTGTTCTTTTCCTAATCTATCGCAAGTCTGAAAGAAATAAGCCGTCCCAATTTTCCACGGAGAAAAACTGTCCCAATCAGTCGCAAGGTTGTGACGACAATGTTTGTAGTACTCTACGACAAAATCAACGACGGTTTTTCCGTTGCATTGTGACAATTTGTCGACAGATAAGTTCTGTCGCAATGTTGCATCGATCAACGACCATTTTCTGTTTGTGACAATGTTGTACCGACAAAAATGTCACTGTCGTTTTCCGTCGCAAGTCCAACTTGCGACGGAAATGCACACTATTTGCAACGGAATTTTCAGTCGCATTACTGATGATTCGTTTTAAGTATAACTATATCTATCTACGAAACTTATCGATGAATTGCTATAGGCATTACATATTCGATTTTTGTTTACATGATAAAAACTATAATTTCATATTAAAAAACTAGTTCAAAACTAAAGGTTTATATAAGAGATATCGAGAAGATTTACATGATATTTAAATTTGATTATATTTCTATATTTAAATATTTATAATAGGTAATTAGATTTCTTGTAAGATTATATTTTATATCTATAAACATATAATCGATTAATGTGATTTGGTATAATTCCCTCTTAGAGTTTCCATTATCATTGATCATGTATATATACAAATAGAGAATATGACGTAATTGGTTACATATATGGCAATATATATATGATTGATATATTATCCTTCATTAGTCTATAATGTCCGCTATCACACCCCCGCAGTCGGAGCGGGAGATTGGCGAACGTTCAGACTGAACCTGAACTCAAGGAAGAGAGATGATGGAAGACCCTTGGTGAAGATATCTGCGTATTGGGAAGAAGAGGGAACATGCAGAACTCAAACCTGACCAATGGTGACCTTCTCTCGTACAAAATGGATGTCTATCTCAATGTGTTTTGTACGTTGGTGTTGTACGGGGTTCACTGACATGTAGACAACACTCACATTGTCACAGAAGATCACGGTTGATTGGTTGAGTGGCGAGTGGAGCTCGGTGAGGAGGTTACGTAGCCAAGATTCTGCAACAGCATTTGCAACGACTCGATACTCGGCTTCGGCACTCGATCGTGACGTGGTGTGTTGGCGTTTAGAAGACCATGAAACAAGATTGACCCCAAGGAATACACAGAACCCAGAGGTCGAACGGCGAGTGTCGGGATACCCTGCCCAGTCGGCGTCAATGTAGGCCGTGAGTCTTGAGAAAGAAGAACGTAGCGAATGATGCACTTCAGTGCTTGCATGTGTGGTTCTCTTGGGTCGTGCATGAAGAGACAGACTTGTTGAACGACATACATAATATCTGGGCGCGTGAAGGTCAGGTATTGTAAGACGCCGGTAAGGCTTCGGTAGAGTGTAGGGTCGGCGACAGGTTCGCCTACTCCGACGGAAAGTTTGGACTTCGTGACGGCAGGTGTAAGACAAGGATTGCAAGACTCCAAGTTTGCTTGATTTAGAATGTCGGCTGTGTATTGAGTTTGAGAGAGGAATAGGCCTTCTTTGTTGTTTGTTGCTTGCACACCAAGGAAGTAATGAAGTGGGCCAAGATCAGTCATGACAAACTCGCGATGTAAACCTCGGATGATCTCATTTAACAATGCGGGAGATGAAGTTGTGAGAATAATGTCATCTACATAAAGTAGAAGAATCGTCGTTCCTTTGTTGCTGCGTAAGATGAAGAGTGAAGTGTCGGACTTGCTGTGGGTGAAGCCGAGGCGACAAGCGAAGGATGCAAATCGCTGAACCCAAGCTCCGGGGGGGGGGCTGCTTGCACTATAAGAAACATCAAAATTTGCGACAGAAAAATCTGTCGCAAATACAAAAGAATATCTGTCGCAATTACAAATTTGCGACAGATTGCGACAGAATCATTTCTGTCCGTATATTGTTGTCGCATGAGTTTGCCGGTCGTTAATCTGTCGCAAAGTTGCGACGGACAAAATCCGAGTTTTGCGACAGAATTGCGACAGAAAAATCTGTCGCAAATATCTTTTTTAATATTTTTTTAAAAAAAATCTACGTTTACTACGGATTTGCGACAGAAAAATCCGTCGCAAATATTTTTTTAATTTAAAAAAAATATAAAAAATATATTATACATATACACATATATACGTATATTCACATACACATATACACATATATTACACATATACACATAAATTTATATATATATACACATACACATATACATTTACATATAGACATATATATACATACACATATA